TTCCTGAGCACTTGGTTTTATTCAGTCTGAGTAAGCATCTGCCTTCCCCGGACACCATGTCCTTCAATGTGGATGTTGATGAGCTGGAGAACTCGCATGGAGCCACATATATCAGGAAGAAAGCTGCCAAAGTCGTGGGCGAAAGCCAGCCTAAAGAACCGGGGTAACACACACCTTGATTTTTAAACTAATTTACATTTCAGACAGAATCCAGTCCATCTGAACACATCAGTGCAGTCAATTTGGTGATGTTTGTGATCATAATCACAAATAACAATCAGGGTTTTTCAAACAAGGGTTGCATTTTGGGAACACAATGTGTGTTAGATTAACTTTATTTAAAGATTCACACAATTTCCAACATGAGAAGTTAACAGCGTTTAACCAGTATTTCTGAATAAGAAAGGATTTGAACATTTGAAAGTGAAGAATTTAAGACATAAATATTAGTATTTTAACCGGCAGTGTAAAAAAAATATATCATTAGGCCTATAATTATCAAATTATTTTTACAGGACAATTGTAATTAGTACATCATTTTGGGAACACAATGTGTGTTAGATTAACTTTATTTAAAGATTCACACAATTTCCAACATGAGAAGTTAACAGCGTTTAACCAGTATTTCTGAATAAGAAAGGATTTGAACATTTGAAAGTGAAGAATTTAAGACATAAATATTAGTATTTTAACCTGCAGTGTAAAAAAATATATAATTAGGCCTATAATTATCAAATAATTTTTACAGGACAATTGTAATTAGTACATTTCTATATTAATTTGTAAAATTACAGTTAAAATCTGAAAATAAAACTTAAAAAATAATAAAAACTATCAAAATAAAATGTACTAAAATATATCAAAATAAAACACTGAGTTTTGTTTGTACACCTTGATCATTAACGAACACAAGAAAACCTAATGTGTTGTTACATATTAAATTAATTTAATTTATTAAAATGTTAAATTAAAATCTCAAGGGGGCTTTAAGTGAATATTTTATGTCTAAGGGGTTTGGCTGACAAAAATGTTTGGTCTACATGAAAACACTTGACATTTCTAGCCTGTATTTACAGTTCTTTTGCTCTCTTGTTCATTTAACACATTGTTCTTTTTTATTTCAGTCCAAGCTTTAAAGGCAATTATATATATATATATATATATATATATATATATAACATTTATATATGTATATATTATATCAAATTATAATTAATAAAATCAAAATAAAACACTGAGTTTTGTTTGTACACCTTGATCATTAACAAACACAAGAAAACCTAATGTGTTGTTACATATTAAATTAATTAAAATATTAAATTAAAATCTCAAGGGGGCTTTAAGTGAATATTTTATGTCTAAGGGGTTTGGCTGACAAAAATGTTTGGTCTACATGAAAACACTTGACATTTCTAGCCTGTATTTACAGTTCTTTTGCTCTCTTGTTCATTTAACACATTGTTCTTTTTTATTTCAGTCCAGAGGATGTTAAAAAGAAGAAGAAAAAGAAGAAAGGTATGTCTGCAGCTGATCTCCTAGTATTTTCTTAGCACTCGCAAGAATACAAAGTTGTTAATATTTTTGTGCTCAGGTAAACTGCCCAAGAACTACGACCCCAAATCGACCCCCGACCCGGAGCGCTGGCTGCCGATGCGAGAGCGGTCGTACTACCGCGGCAAGAAGAAGGGCAAGAGGAAGGAGCAGGTCGGCCGCGGCACACAGGGAGCAACATCTGGAGCGTCTCCCGAGCTGTAAGTGTACCATACTGCTTGCATACTGCTTTTTCTGCAGCATATACTACTTACTGCATGCCAGTGTTGTTTTATCATTAATATTTGAAATCAAAATATTTTAAAACCATTTTTATTTCAATTTTAGTTGAAGTTTTAGTCATTTTGTTGCTTTAAATTGTGGTTTTAGTATTTGTGTTTTTGTCATTTTTAGTGGAATTTTTTTTTTTTAGACATCTGTAAAGTTATCAGCAATTTTTATGTTTTATTTTAGTACATTAGTACATCAACTAAATTAAAATAAGCCACTAGGTAAAAATAAGGGTCATTTTACATTTAAGTACTGAGTAATATTAATTATAATGTACTTACTCTAGGGTTTGGTTTAGGGTTACATGTAATTATGCATAATTTACTGTTAGTACAGTAAGAATTGAATATACTTTGCACCGAAAATAATCAAATTTATTTGACAGAAATTGTAATTCTCAACAGTAATATATTTGTTTCTTTTTATTTTTGTTAACATGGCAATAATAATATTTAGGAGTTATTTTTTTGTAATTATACATTTAAATACCGAGTAACATTAATAACTTACTGTTGGGTTTGGTTTAGACCAAGTTGTGTGTAATTATGCATAATTTACTGTTATTAGTAAAGAAAGCACATGTAACAAGAACATAGCAAAATAGTGTTATTCTTTATCTCAGGTAACGTTTATTTCAAGTAACAAAAATGATGAACTGTAACCCTGCTGAATGCATACAGCACCAATGCAATACACTTGCTTTATTTTTTATTTTTATTATTTATTATTTAGTTATTTTTAATGAGTCCATCTGAACACGTCAGTACAGTAAATTTGATGTTTGTGACAATAATAATCACAAATAACAATCAGGGTTTTCCAAACAAGGGTTGCATTCTGCACAATGTGCATTAGGTTAACTTTATTTAAAGATCTGCACACTTTCCAACATGACTGGATAGAAGTTAACAGCGTTTCACCAGTATTTTTGCACAAAAAAGGATTTGAACATTTGAAAGTGAAGAATTTAAGACAGAAATATTAGTATTTCAACCTGCAGTGTAAAATGAAATTATTATTAGGCCTGTAATTAAGAAAGGATTTTTTTAACAAATGAACCGGAAGCAACATCAGAAATACTTTTGGTGTGTGTTTTTCAGTGACGCCAGTAAAAGCGCCAGCAGTCCGCCCACCTCCCCTCGTCCCGGCTCAGGAACAGGCACCGCCACCGCCGTGAGCAACGTGGTTCCCCCGCGACAACAGAAACCTGCTGCAGCCGGAGCCACTCGCAAGAAGGCTCCGCAGAAGAAGAAGAAAGGAGGGAAGGGAGGATGGTAGATAAAGAGAGAGAAACGAAACGATTTCATCTAACATTTGGTTTGCTTGGTTTTGAAACTCTGAGAAACAGTTGTACTAATGAAGACGCCACCTGCTCCAGTGGCCTGGAGGATGACATGCAAAAGTTTTAGTCATTAGATTCTGAAGGATGAGGAAAAGGAATGTGATTTTTGAACGTCAAAGTGTCGAATGGATAAATTGGGAATCTGGTGTCAATGCATTTTTTAAACCATCCAATCCACTGTGTACATGCATTACTATCTATGTTAAAGAGTCTGGGGCATTTCTCCTTTGTTTTTTTAATTTTATTTTTAAATATTTGCTTTTTTGCCCCTCCCCCACCCCTCATATGTTCTGGAGCTGGATGATTTCTCTGTTTATCTTTTGTCCCTGCTTGGTACATGAACGCTTAATAAAGCAAGTTTGTGCCACAATAGAGGCTGTTTATGCAAAGCTGAGATATTTATTTTTGAAATCCAGCGCTCAACCCTGATTATAATTTTGAACAAACTCTCCTCAGAAACAGATCTCCAGTGTTAAATCTTAATAAAGAGATTCCTGGAAAAACCAATCAACTCGGAGTGTCTTGCTCTTTCATATGTAAACTCCTAAAGATCTGTTGCCATAATTGTGCAGTAAATATAACTGTTTAACCATTAAAACCATTGTTCTTTTTATGCACTGGTCAATTTAGAGATTTTGAACTATTTTGCTTCCAAAACATGTCCTCTTTCAGACTAGTGGAAAGAAAACATCCAAAATACACATTTATATGTTTATTTTATTACTCTAATCTATTTGTGTCTGTAAATTTCAGTTAATCTTTAAGAGTTTTTTTTTCATTCACTGAGCCAAAAATCTTTACTTTGCATAAAGCAAACTTTACAGTTTTATTCTTATCTATATACTGAAGGTTTTTACAGATGAGTTTGTTCGTATATCATTTGCTGGATGTGTATAAAATGTATTCCCTCTGCTTCTGGCTGTTGACAGATTTGAAGTGATAAAAAGAGCAATCCAAAATTCCCTCTATAAAACTCTTCAGTGTCAACAAAAGAATTTTGAACCATTATCCAATGTTCAGATGTCTGTTCTGATTTATGGAAATGTGTGCATATTTAATTAGATAAAGCCTCATTCGCGTTTTTAAACAATATTTCAGTAATTCTGGTGGATTCAAAAAAAAAAGCCTTGAACATTTTAGTAAAAAAAAAAAATGCATTGTACAGCTCAAATCTTGATGGGATTTTTTATTTTAGAAGTCAGAAAAGTCAGAAAGAGATTTATTACCAAGTATGTTTACACACACACAAGTAATCTGACTTGATGACAGGAGCTTCCAGTGCAGAAGAAAGTACGGACATAGTGCAACATGCATAATAATACAGTAGCAATGGAATATAACACTAATATAAGAAAAACAGAAAATCAAATAATAATGCATTATATACAGATGTAGAAGAGTGAAAAAAAATTTATTGTTTAAATTAATGTACAGTGATGTATAAATCTCAATTTAAAAAAATTGACCCTTATGACTGGTTTTGTGGTCCAGGGTCACATATACTGATTTACAAATGTACAAATTCCATGTATAAATATGTCAGTTATGATGGACAATGTATAGCTATGGAAGTTTTAATTGTTCAGGCTGACGATAGCCTGCGGGAAAAAAACTGAAAAACTTTAGTCAGTTTTACCGTCATTGTAGTCTTTTTTCATACAGAAATACTTCAAAGTTAGGTATTCTTTTAGTAGGTTGACATTATATCAATGTTTAGATAACATTTTGCACAGTGTGATCTGTCTCGAACAGGTGCTTTTATTTGTAGATGATATGTTTCTCCAGCAGGTGGCGCTGTGTGTGTTCGAGCGCCCTGGAACTGTCGTGACTGAGTTACTTGAATCAAACATGTCACCGACGAGTGTGTGCCTTTAAAGACTGGCTCTCGGCGGCAGGTTAGTTTATCTCAGGAGATTACTTGAGCTTCGACTCCCGCTGGTTTATGGTTTAAATGAAGATCAAAATCTCTCGCGATCTTTTGTGATTACCTCACATCTCACGAGACCGCCGCTTTTGTTGTTGATCTCCAGGAAACGCAAAAGCTCGGGTGACACCTTTTCCGTTTTGGTGGAAAGACGAGAAAATACATTTAGCGCTTTAATAAATCTGCAGGAGTAATTCTGTTTTTCGCTCGCGTTATTTCTACTCACCGGAAATATCGACCTCTAGAGTTTCTAATCCACTTGTGGCTCCGCACCGAGGCCCGTGTGTGGCGCATCACGTCCGAGGGCATGTAAAAAAAAATTATCGCATTTGTTTATATTTTAGCTTGCTTTGATTTGGAGGCACGAATTGAGCGTGAACATGCCCGGTGCGCGCGAGATCGGGTTGGTGGGCGCCGCGCTCGCGCTCACGGGAGGAGTCGCGTGCGCTTTGTGCTATCTGATGAGTGAAACACAAAAACCCAAGAAAACACAAACAGTCGAAGAGGAGCTGAGTGAGGACGGGAGCAGGAAAGAGCACGTGCATAAAGCGACCAAGACCGAAACTGCACTAAAAACGCCCATAATATCAGAGGTTTGTGGGTTTTGATCCAGTTTTATCCTCTTGGACGTTCTTTTATCCCAGTGTTTTGGTGGCACTCCAGGCCTCAAAGCAATAAATTCTGCCGAAATTAAAATAATTTCAGTTTACAGTGACATGTGGTTTAAAATGTCTTTAATAAATATTATTATAATATTTAATGCTGAACAGGTGCTTAATAGATCATGCATATCTATATCCTCTTAAATAGTAATATTCAGCAATTCAAAATTTTGATATTCATTATTAAACATTATCATAATATGAAATGCTTAAAAAGATGCTTTAAGTACATGCAAATAGTCCCAAATAATATTATGCAACTTTGATTCAAGTTTTTAGAAAGGTTAATGTTTTTTAATATAATTTTTAATGCTGGGTGCAAAAAAAAGAAGGAAAAAAAAAAAAAAAAAAAATATATATATATACTTTAATTTAATTTAACTTTAATTAATAAATAAATAAAACCAATAATAAACAATGCTTGAATAGTATACATGGAAATAGCCACACTTAATATTATGATAATTTATTTATTTTTAAATGTATTAACATAATTTATAATGCTTAAATAAATGCAAAATAATAGAAATATGCAACACTGATTCATGTTTTAATAAATGTGCAATAATATTCTAATATGAATATATAAAAATAAGCTATATATCTTTCAAGCTATAAATAATGTTAAGTGAAAGTTAATATTACAAAATGATTATGCTTTTGTTTGGTTTTGTTTTCAAATAATTTTAGTGTCACCTGGGAGTTTATTTTCCAAATTAACTCAAAATAAATTAGCATGCAGTGTTTGCATTTTCGAGCATGGTGCATTGATCAAATGAACTGCTTTTGGTTTATTGTGAGGACCTCCTGTAGTTTAATCCGTCTCATTCTCTGTGTCAGTGTGACATGTGAAGCAGCTTTACTCTCCCATCAAGCTGTGATTTCAGTAAAGTAATGCCATGTTTGTTCTCTGTGTTGTGCAGCCCAGGACAGCAGGTACTCAGGTGCTGGTTTTGGGGCTGGACGGGGCAGGAAAGACTAGCTTACTGCACTGTTTTGCCACGGGCAGCCTAGAACAAGACGTGTCCCCCACTCAGGGCTTCAACGCAATCTCCATCAACAAGGAAGAGCTTCAGATCGAGTTCTTAGAGAGTAAATACAGCTCATTTACACACACATATTGTGATTACTGTAGATCAAACGGCAGCATGTTGCTTGCAACACCAAAGTCATACAGTAGGTTTGAATCCAAAGGGAATACATGCACTGATCAAATAAATCATGCAAGTCGATTTGGAAAAAGTGTTAGTACCACCAAAAAAAAATTGTCGTTGTTTTAGTATCATTGATATACTATTATAGTTTTTGTAAACATTTAAAAAGAGATTTTATTTTTATATCTTGTTTTTAATCTCAAAGTTTTTGTAATTTTGCTGTATTTGTCATTTTTATTTGTGTTATTCAAAAAAATGTCTGTGTAGTCTTTATTAAGGTTTAGATTTTAGTTTAATTTAGATTTACTTATATTAGTACTTAATGGAAGCTTGTTTTCATCACAGGAAAAAAAAAAAAAAAAAAATGGTAATTACAAAATATTATCTCACAATTCAATTAGACAAAAGTCGGAATGTTTTATTCTGTGGCAGAAAAACAAAACAAAAAACAGGATTGTGATTTTGTGAGAAAAAAGTCAGAATTGTGAGATGTAAACTCTGAGTTGCAGGAAAGTCAGAATTCTGAATAAAAGTAGAATTGCAAAATATAAATGTGCAATGCTGATCAGAAGAGTCCAAATTGTAAGATATTGTAAGAACTTCGAAACTGCGAGAAAAAAGTCTTGAGTTGTGAGGTAAAAAGCCACAATTACCACATTGCCACGATTGTGCGATGTAAACTCAGAATTCTGAGACAAAAGTCTATTGCGAGATATAAGATTAAAATTGCGTCAGTTTATATTTCACAATTCTGAGAAAAAAAGGAAACGGGCTTCCATGGTACTTCAACTTAAATGAGAAATGTTGAAAAACTAGTTGAAATAAAAAAAAAAAAATGTATCACTATTTTAAGGTCCAAATCTCACCATTAACAAACCATTAACTATGACTTTTGCCACAATAAACTCCTAATTTGCTGCTTATTATTAGTATTTAGGTAGTTGTTAAATTTAGGTATTGGGTAGGATTAGGGTACATTCATATAAAACACCCACGCCGCGTTTTGATTTTGAAACGTGCAGTGCTCATGTTTATTCAACGAAGTCAAACGGCACAAATAAATCAATGTATGGGAAACACTGGTAATGTATATCGAAATATCGGAAATGTGTTTAAAAATCATATCACCGTTATTGGAAAAAAATTATATCGCGATACATATTGATATTGAATTATTGTCCAGCCCTATTTCAGTTAAAAGTTTATTTTGTTTGAAGTAATTAAATTGAAGGATTTTCGTTAACAAAAACAACCCTGGTTTGAAGTGAATAGTATAACAGTGTAATCGTGTCTTTCGTGCTTCCTCTGTCGTGCAGTTGGAGGTACGGAGAAGCTGCGCGATTACTGGCGAATGTATCTGTGTAAAGCGCGTGTGCTGGTGTTCGTGGTGGACTCGTCTGACCCCGAGCGATTCCCTCTAGCTAAACGTCTCCTGCACCAGCTCCTGTCGGCCGACCCCTGCCTGCCTCTAGTGCTGCTCGCCAACAAGCAGGTGAGAGCGCTCGCTCGGTAATCCTCTCTCAGCACGATCCGTCTGATAGAGTGCGTGTCAGGACCATCTGGACGCTCAGACGTAAGGGTAAGGTGCTGAGGCAGTGCGGCTTTTCCTGTTCTTGCAAACACATCTGGTGTGGCAGACGGGCCTTAAAGTCAACATGAAATCAAATTGGCCCAGGAATAGTTCCTGGTTATATTAGCTGGGATCCTGCAGTGGAATAAGAAATTTTTGCCACAATATATTGAATTTTAGAGTCATTCTAATAGGTTACATAATGCAAAAGTGAATGACATACTCGGCTTCTACATTGTTAAAACAATAATTACAATATTATCGTAGACAATACATATCGCACACCCCTGTTCCTGGGGCCTGTACCATGAAGCTGGCTAGCCAGGTAAGTTTCACTTTAGTTTGCACCAATCCTGGGTTTTAGGTACCATGAAAGTGGCTTGGCTTTTAGCGGTGTTTATAGCCATAGTAACTTACACTGCATGGCTAACCTGCTCCAGGGCAGGTTATGTTCTGAGTTAGAGATCTCAAACTGAAATTGGACCAATCAGATGTGAGCAAAGTGTCTGACACAAAAAGTCACTCCCCAAGTTTCTCTTGCTCCCAATTAAAGGTCACTAGTACTGGAAAAAAAATTTGTCTGGCTTTAATGATAATTACTTAGTTATTTTATATGATTTATATAATTATTATATGATTTATATTATTATTAATCCATTACACACAAGCAATATTATTATAAATCATTTATTTTAAATGAATATTAATATATACTGATCTTATGTAATATAAATAAGCGGTAGAATAAATAGATAACACTATTTTAAAAATGACTACATGTGACCTTATATGTTCAAGTCTCTATGGCTATATATTTTCAACTGTATAAATTAACTTAGTAAGTTTCGCTTGTGACTGCACTGATAGAGCAAGATAATTTCTTTTATTTGTCCCCTTATCATGTTTCATATGACGTTTAAATTTGTCATGTTCTTCGATTTCTTAACCTTTAGCAAAACCTTAACCTTTAGTTTTGAATCTTGCTGGGTCTCTCGCGAGAAGTTAATCAAACTTGCTTTGTGTTGCAAGGCGTGTGATTGGCTGTTCGCCACTGATGTCACACATTCATGTGCATGCGCTCCACAAACAGGATCAAAGCCTGAGTTGACAAAGAAAGTTGATGATCAGCATCATGGTACCAACAAAACCGGATTGAAGTGGTTTGGTTTTGTCAACTCGAAACGAATCCTGTAACTCTGAATTTGTTCAACTACCATCATGGTACAGGCCCCTGGTCTTTTTGGACTAATTAATTAGTGCATGTTTTTCTGTTATTGGAAACATGGTCCTCTCTCTCTCTCTTTTACGCAGGACGTCCCCGGGGCCCGTGGGATCACGGATCTTTACGAGGCGCTGGATTTGGGCGATGTTGGCGACGGGCACCGGCTCAGTGTGATTGGTACTCAGGTGAAGAAGAGAAAGTCTGAGGCCAACGCCGGTGTGCAAGACGCTCGTGACCTCATCATAGAGATGATGTCAGATGATTGACCACCAACTGTGTGTCTTAAAATTGTTTCCTTTGGTCAGAATTATTTAGGGCTTTACGGTCACCAAAGAGTCTTCAAACCAAATGACAACAAAACAGCCTGTTTTTGTAGTAGAAGAGAGACTAGTGACACTAAAAACGTCATGATTGCTTAAACTGAGAATGAAAATGGAGCATTTTGAAAAAGATGCCAAAGATAATCATGTTTTTCAGTGTATCGCTGCTGCTGTTGTAGTTGTGGATTATGGGATGTTTGAATATCAGTAAACTGATATGGAAATGTGTGTTTGTGCTGTTTTTGCTAGATGATGAGATGCTTTAATTGGTTTATACTGTAACTTGCTGACTTGTCAGTAAGAAGAGTCTATAATCAAAATGTCTGTGTATTAATTTTGTAACTTGACGTTTCTGTCTTTAAATGTCTTTTTAATGCCAGAAATCAAGTGAAGATTTGATCAAATTGGTGAGGGACTTTTGATAACCATTAAATATTAATTTAAATGACTGAATGTGTTTGTCATTTTTGTAACAAAAATCCTGTAATGTTACTTTTTAGCATCAATGACATCATTTTTAGAATCTTTAGAATTCCTGGAATCATATTTCCTGTTTTGTTTATGATGTCATGGTCTGTTAGTTCAGGCTGATTTCACCTCTGATGACAGAGCAGGACCATGTGACTTTGGTTGTCACAGTACCAGCTTCCTTAGCAACAGGCGGTCTCTATTGTGACATTAGTTTCCCAGGATTCCTTTGGGTTTGTACCTGGACAGAATGGACTCGGGTAAAGTCTGCATTTAAAACAAAGCCTAAATATGGTCTCATGTTATTTTTATTGAAAAATAGGTTAATATGAATTTTCTGTTTGTTTTCTATTTCTGAAAGAGCCTGAATTAAAGTCATCCCATTTGGATAGGTATATGCATAGCAGAAAAAAAATTTTTTTAGTTTTTCTTTCATTACTTTATAATTTGTATTTTTAAGAAACTAATAACATGTTTGCTTGTAGGATTTAGTTTCTAGCTCAACCAAAGAAGTCCAAGACAGTTTCGGCCACAACCCCTTGGTAAATGTTTTTTTTTTTTTTTTTGCAAATGGTCTGCATGGCAGAGTTCCAAGACGAAAACCGCTGCTGAGCAAAAAGAACATAAAGGCTCGTCTCAGTTTTGCCAGAAAACATCTTGATGATCCCCAAGACTTTTGGGAAAATACTCTGTGGACTGACGAGACAAAAGTTGAACTTTTTGGAAGGTGTGTGTCCCATTACGTCTGGCGTAAAAGTAACACTGCATTTCAGAAAAAGAACATCATACCAACAGTAAAATATGGTGGTGGTAGTGTGATGGTCTGGGGCTGTTTTGCTGCTTCAGGACCTGGAAGACTTGCTGTGATAAATGGAACCATGAATTCTGCTGTTTACCAAAAAATCCTGAAGGAGAATGTCCGGCCATCTGTTCGTGACCTCAAGCTGAAGCGAACTTGGGTTCTGCAGCAGGACAATGATCCAAAACACACCAGCAAGTCCACCTCTGAATGGCTGAAGAAAAACAAAATGAAGACTTTGGAGTGGCCTAGTCAAAGTCCTGACCTGAATCCTATTGAGATGCTGTGGCATGACCTTAAAAAGGCGGTTTATGCTCGAAAACCCTCCAATGTGGCTGATTTACAACAATTCTGCATAGATGAGTGGACCAAAATTCCTCCACAGCGCTGTAACAGACTCATTGCAAGTTATCGCAAACGCTTGATTGCTGTTGTTGCTGCTAAGGGTGGCCCAACTAGTTATTAGGTTTAGGGGGCAAACACTTTTTCACACAGGGCCATGTAGTTTTGGATTTTGTTTTCCCTTAATGATAAAAACCTTCATTTAAAAACTGCATGTTGTGTTCACTTGTGTTATCTTTTACTAATATTTAAATTTGTTTGATGATCTGAAACATTAAAGTGTGACAAACATGCAAAAAAAATAAGAAATCAGGAAGGGGGCCAACACTTTTTCACACCACTGTATATTGTCAACCATGAGTACAAATACACCTGAGGCTAAGAGGCTTATGTTTTTCAGCACTACCCAAATATCCAGAAAAAAACAGCTGTTTCATCCCTTGATCCAGCTGACTTCTCTGCTGTGCTTGTGTTGTGGGATTCAGGATACTGACATGGGGAAACCAGGAATCGATACGGCCGCTGTCCCGCTCAGCGCTACAAGCCGTTCCGAGCCCCAGAATAAAGGCTCTGGCCCAGCCTAAGAAAGACTTCTGCCTCCAGATCCAGCTCAGGTAGCGAGAAACAGCACATCAACAAATGTCTTAAACTAAATAACTGAATAAAAAGGAAGTTTTATGTATATGTACTGTTCAAACATTGGTGTTAAGATTTTTTTAATGTAGGAAATTATTTTGTACAGTTGATGGGGGGCTTTACAGTTGAGAAGGGGTGCTAATAAAATAATTACATTGTGTAGGTAAAGAATGCCTAAACCGCAGGTACCTAAACATGCCGTTTCAGTCTAGCATTGTTTAGATACAGCACAGCTTCTAAAAACATGCCACACCACTGTTAAATGCATAAACAAATGTCCTGCATTTATTGCGTTTTATTTAATTTTCCCTTAAAAATGTACATTTACATGGTCACATCATTTACTCATCCTGAAGTTGATGAACAAAAGAATATATAAATAAATTTAAAAAAAGGTGGTCCCATTGATTTCTATGATCTATAGAAACCTATAGTATTTTGTTCCATACTATGGAAGTCATTGGGGACCGTCTGTTTGGTTACCAATATTCTTCAAAATACCTTCTTTTGAGTTCAGCAGAAAGAAGAAACTCATACGGGTTTGGAATAACACGAGGGTGCGTAAATGAAGAATTTTCAGTTTTGGGTGAACTATCAAGTGACCATTAAGTGTACAGTTATTAGAAATTAGACATGTCGACTGACAGTCTGACAGACTACTGGCTTGGAATAGGTACTGTTTAAATGCCAGCTAAATAAGGGCTTGAAACTGCTGTGAGCTAAATGAACAAACTGTTCACACAGAAACTGTTTGTGTCTTTAAAAACGTGTACAAAATGGAAAAGAGTGCAGAGTCTCGAGGCGTGTTAAAAACCATACAGCCATTAAATCACCAATAAAAGTTTTTGTTTACATACCGTATTGGCCCGAATATAAGACGACCCTGATTATAAGACGACCCCCCTTTTTCCAGATGTACCTTTTGGAAAAAGGCTTTTTAAAAACCAAATCTTGTTTTTTCTCAGTTAAACACATTTTGTCTTCAATTATTTTCATATTGCATATTTTTCCTATTTTAATTTTTGTTTTGAAAGTATGGTAAAAACTGGTAAAATGTACCAACAATCACATTTAAAAAATATAAACTTTTTGATATACCATTAAAAAAAAAAAAACAGGTAGCCCATCTGAATTAGGACATTTACGCTATCCATCTAATAGTAGCCTACCAAAATCTTATTAACAGCAGAAGTTAAATCTTACCGTAGTCTTCAAATCTGGGTACTGTCTTACGTTTTAAAATCACAAAGAGAGTTTGGTCCCATCAGGCTAACGTGACAGTCACGACTCATGCAGCTGTAAGGTTTTCTGCTTCTTTTGTTTTTACTCGCGATCTTTACAACACGCATTACATTACGTATTTCATGGCACACTCGTTTTATGCGTATTGGGCGCCACCTAGTGTTGTGGGTGTATTATTGACATGTCAAAGTCTAGACCCTGAATATAAGACGACCGCGTTTTTTCAGATGTATTTCCAAGAAAAAAATATCGTCTTATATTCGGGACAATACGGTAATGTGTATGTGCTATGTATATTTATTATGTATATACAGTGGTGTATAAAGTACCTGAAAGCCATACTTAAGCAAAAGTACAGATATCTTACCAGAAAATGACTGGTAGAAGTTGAAGTCACCGTTTAGAATATTACTTGAGTAAAAGTCTTAAAGTATGTGATATTTATTGTACTTAAGTACGAAAAGTTT